CCAAAGAAAATCTTCTGTTTGGTGCAACAAGTATTTCCTAGAGGAGAGTAAGACGGACACAAGTCTTTTCCACATTTATTTATTCATAGGAGTTGTCAATTTTATTTTTTCTTTTGAAGGACATAAGTACAGAAACTTAACTAGCAACCCTGCCTTTAGCAGCTTTTCAGACATGCATGCAGGTAGACACACACATAAATTTAGACCAAAAATGACAACCAGCAAGAACAACTGAGCTGTGGAAAAAGCCAGCTGTGGAAAACTCCACCACAAGGTCAGGAGCCTGATGGCAGCTAGAACTCCTGTGACTAGATATATCTATTTGTGGGGAGGCTTAAGCAAGGATATCTTAAGAAGTATGGGAAGAACATTAGGTAGTAGTTTTGCTTCAGCAGTGATCATGGCAAAGAGTAATGCTTTCAAGCTGTCATCATTTCTCATGGCCAGGTGGATATGCTGAGGCAGGATCCTTGTTTCCCCATTTTTCCGTGCAGCGTTCCCCGCCAGCTCCAGGATCTCTGCGGCCAGGTACTCCAGCACCGCAGCCAGGTAGACGGCAGCACAAGAAGTGATCCTGCCAGAGTGGTTCCCTCTTTTAAGGTGCCTGTAGACACAACCCACAGGGAAACACAGACCAGCCCTGGCTGATTTGGTTTTCTTCGGCATGACGAGGAGCTCTGGGGTTTTCTCTCCACATCCAGACATTCTGACATCAAACAGGGAAAGAATTAATAAACCAAAATAGACACAGAAACTGAGCACTTAAGTAATGTCTTCCTTCTCATTTCACTGCCTTTCTAATTCTCTTCGAAGGCAGTTTTCCCCTCTCAGAAAGTTCACTAGTTTTTCATACTTGTGTCTGAAGGAGCAGATGGGTCAGGCGGCTGCTTTAGGAAAGTCTGACAAGTTTTCAGACAAACAGCATCTACAGGCTCAGTCAGAGCAGCAGGTCAGCCATCTGCTAGATTCCCAAAACTTTACAAGAGAGTAGGGTAGAACTTAGGACCACGGTCTTCTGACCCAGTATCAACAGTGGAGTGTTATCAAGGAGAAAGGCCTGAAGAACCTCAGCTTCAAGATACTTACAAGTGTTCAGAAACCCTGAAGGGAAGCTTCATTGAACTTACCTCTGGTGGGAGCCTAAGCAGTTGCTGCAATAACGACCTTGTAAGAGCCAAAGCTAGAAATTCATACCTTTGTCTGAAGCAAGATCAACAGGAGAGAACTCAATCTACCAGAAACCACTTCAAAGGGATCTTGTTTTCCAGAGGCGAAGGGAACCTATTGCTGCAAGGTAACAGTCCATAATCAGGAACAAGACTTAGGGGAAGTAAAGATGCTTTGTTTTACATCAGATAGTAAAATTGCTCTGCTTAACACACTGCGTATCAGGCTACTACAAATGCACTAATACGATCTTCTTGTATAATACTGCATCCATTTTAACAAGCCCCATCACTTATTACTAACAAAAAGTCTCTGGTTTTGACAAGTACCAATTACTCTTCAATGCACAACACCAAACAACTAGAAAACAAACACAGGAAAATTCTGATCTTGTACATAAAGATTGTTTTCAAACTTAAATCTTTAGCTGTTTTTAAGTAATGAGAAGCCCTACCCCAATGGGGGAAGGAACTAAAGCAGCTATTAAGTTGAAGTGCTTATAAATGCAATATAAGGCTCCATTAGGAGATTTTTCAACATGCCTTGGAAATATAAACTTTTAAAGACAGCCAACATAAGTAAAGAAATGTAAAAAAAAATATAAAAACCCCCTTAAGCAGCCTTATACCAAGCACAGAACTTACAAAACCATTATTTCACTCAGAAGTTTATCTAGCACAAAGAAAGCATGTTACCATTTCCTAAGAACAAACACTTACCTGATAAAAGTATTGACCTACCCACTTCCCTAACTGTCACTACACAAAGCACAACCACTAGCAAGAGCTGCCCCCTCTTAAACTCCACAGTGGAGCCATATCATTAGCAGCTCTTGCATCATTTAATACCACCTGGGTGAGCAATGATTCAGCCACTCAAAACAAAACAAAAAAAAAAAAAAAAAATCAAGGCCCCAACACTAGAGCAGCTCAGCACAGTCCCTGAGAGCATGAAAATTTGTCACAACACCTTGTAGAGCTGCTTAGCACCTTGTTAGATGACCTCCTGTGGAAACAAGCCTAATATTTACTGCCTCAGAGAGCTGGAGTATCTTTAATTGGCAGTTCATTTATTACAGCTGGAAGGGAGCACACCTCACCTTGCTGCAGTCATCAAGAATTAAACCCAGCAACATATACCACTGTTCTTCATGCTGTCAGCAGTGGCCAAGCTGCTTTGGGACCATGCTGCAGAGCCTGGGAAAGCTTGGGAGCTGACATTGGGTTCTGTCTCTTCTAGGACTTGTCCCCATCTGTCACACAGTCCAGTTTTTTTCAAAGTCATGCATAGCTGTGTTGCAAAGCATAATATATCCTTTCTAGGGCCAAGGTCATGGTGACAGCCGAATAGTTTTTTTCTTCAATACACAAGCACTGGAAAGGTGAGCCCTGGCCCAACGGAAATGTGTGCTGAGTAGCTGGGTTAGGAGACATCTACCCTCTGTTACTGTGAAGGCAGAGGGGTGGGTTTTCACATCACTATGCTATCTGGTTAATTTACCAATGGGTTGAACTATTGGCTAGAAGAAAGCAAAGATTGTTCTTGACCAAAGAAATACTTAAAAAAACTGACTTGTGAATTGTACTGGTACTTCACCACAAACTCTGTCTTTGGGTTTAAGTACAGGTAGGGCCACACAGCTAACTTGGTGTCTTTTATCATACAGAAAATGGCAGGTGAAGGCACTTCTAGAAGCTACTTGAGCACTGTCCGTGCCTTGCAGGGTCTGGGTGGTGCAGGGCAGACACACGGGAGCCACTCATACCCAGGAGGAGCATGAAGACTGACATACAGTTCCCCAGATCAGCAAAGGGTGCTGTAAGTGCCATGCTTAAAACTGCTCAAAATTAGTACTTTGCTTGAGTCTTCTACCATTACTGCAAACTTTTAGACTTTTTCTTGGTCCAAATAAATAGCCATTCCCAAGCCTGCTTTCCCTTGCCACAGTCAAATGAAGGAAATAATTTGAGTTTCATGTGTTTATTTCTTATGTACCTCTCTTAAACCTTTTTTTTTCCCCCCATTTACAGGTGTAAACACTCATCAAAAAGCTAGTTACATATAGCACATCTTTAGTATACGCATAAAGCTTAAGATCTCCTCTCAGACAATTTTACTTCTCATTGCTACAGCATCCTCCATTTTTTTCTCACTTCACTGGGTTAATTGCAGGCCAGCCAAGATCTCATCAAATTGCTCTTGAAAACCAGGCAGCATACAATGACTGTTCCAGCTGATCATCACCCTGAAATCACGATGTTCACTCAGTTGGGTATACTCTCTTCCCATTTCTGTGTAAGAACAGCTTGGAGTGAGTTATTAACACAGCTGCATACAGCTCTGACGTCTGTCAGCATCATAAAACCTGTCCAGTAGGCTCTAACACCCTTGTGCCTTGAGGGGGCAAAGGAGCTAGGTCAAACTCAACAGGACAAGCAGATCTTTTTCAAATAAAAAGTTCATGCTCCAGCTACAGTTTAGGAATGTGCTGGTTTGGGCTGCAACAGAGTTAATGTTTCTTCTGAGTAAATAGAATAGTGCTGTGTTTTGGATTCAGTATGGGATTTGGTATGAGAAGAGTGCTGATAACACACAGATGTTTTCAGTTGTTGCTGAGATTTCAAGGACTCTCCAACTCCCCATGTCCTGCCCATGTGCAGGTGCCCAATAATCAGGGAGGAAGCACGGCCAGAGCACTGGACTGAAATGGTTCAATGAAATATTCCATATCACGAAATGTCATGGTCAGTATATAAAGGAGGGGTGGATGGGAAGGAGGGCACTCTCACTTCCAGGAGCGTGACTGAAGAATCTTAGTATTTCGGGATTGCTAGCCGGGAATAGGCTGGATATTAGTCAGCGGGTGGTAAGCAATCACATTGTACATTGCCCATTTATACTTTCTATGATTGTTTTTGGTTTCTTTTATTACCATTATTAAACTGTTTTTATCTCAACCTACAAGTCTCCCTTTACCCTTGCAATTCCCCGGGGAGGGTGGGCAAGCAGCTGCAGGCTGTTTGGCTGCCGACCAGGTTCAAACCATGACAAGGAAGCTGGTCTTAACCAGCTGTTCTCCCTGTGAAATGCTATGAAACCTGTGAGGTACTGCCTCAGGGTCAGACTGATCACTGTGATCAGATTCCCAGTTTCCAGTTCAACAGCAAGCCTCAGCATCCACTATGAACAGAGAAACCCTGGGCACTTTTCCAGGGGAAGAGTTTCAGTGGTTCTTCTTTTTCTGCGCTGATATACAGGAGCAAGACAGTCACCTTGACCAACAGCAAAAATATTGCACCAGATTTTTAGGTAAGGTACCTACTGACAAGACAGGGGGGATAGAGCAGTCTAAGACGAGGTAGTTGTTCACTACAGCTTTACAACAATAACAATCCTGTGCTTTAAAGTCTTAAGTTCTAAAGCAGAGTTAAACATCTTTTGAGGCACTGAACTAATTATGAATCTGTGCTAGAGGAAAAGTTCACATGAATGACAGTATGTGTCCTGACTCCTCTTCTACCTGCTCCACAACAGTTGCCTGTAACATGTTTTCCAAAGTAAACAGGCATTTGACTCTTAAGAAGTTATTTGGGTGGTGTGCTAGACTGTTTTTCACATTTTCTGTGTCCCTCTATCCCTGGAAGGGGAACTGAAAAAAAGAGAGGACAGTGTTGCATTCTAGGAACTTTATTACAAGATTTAAAAGTGCATTAAAAGTAGCAGGAAAAACACTTGACAAAGAAGCAAACATAGAAATTAGTGCTACTGAGCCCCATCATCCGTAAGTCCACAGACCAGACCGGGAAAAGCAAGTTTCACTGGCTACCACCATGTTACTGAGAAGGAGCAGTATGTCCAACAGTTTTCTTGGGAAATAACTCAGAAGAGAAATTTGGAATAACCCCTCCTTGAGCAATGGTCACACGGGACAAGAGCCTGTTCAGTTCCTCATCATTTCTCACAGCCAGCTGGATGTGCCTGGGCACAATCCTGGTTTTCTTGTTTTTCCGTGCAGCGTTCCCAGCCAGCTCCAGGATCTCTGCAGCCAGGTACTCCAGCACCGCAGCCAGGTAGACGGCAGCACCAGAACCAATCCTGTCAGAGTAGTTCCCTCTTTTAAGGCACCTGTAGACACGACCCACGGGGAACTGCAGACCAGCCCTGGCTGATTTGCTTATCTTCAGTGCAGCTGAAGGTTTGCTAGCCACTGTGTGTTTCTTTCCATAGCCGGACATTCTGATGTCTGAGGAGACACAAAGAGTTGGAGATCTTCAAATTACTCAGGTTCTTGGGCTACAGCTAACTGAGAGCAAGAAAAGACAACAGCAAGGAGAGTTACACTTTCTGCTCTTCCACATCAAGAAGAAAGCTTGTTCTTTTCTTGAGGAGAGAACCACACACCACAGTTCATTAATAGCAGAGCTAAGATGTTAAATACTACTACCCTTTTACAGCCTACCTTTTAGGAGAGAAGCCTTGTTGTGAAACCAGAGTTGTCTGACAACCAGTCAAGAAAGGCTTATTGAAGTAGATATCAAGAGCTCAAAGAGGCTTTCCCCTGCCGCTTGGAATCTATTTGGGATCTAGGCACAGTGGGTCTTCTTCAGTAAGGTTTTCTTAAACACCAGAAGTGTTACCTCAAAACTAACTTGAGGCCCAGCCTGCTTCTTCAAATAATAATTTGCATTTTAACTTCTTCTATTATCAAGTTAGATCTTTCACTTTAAATCTACTAATTGAAAAATTCCTGCAGCCCACATCATCTTACATCCAAAATAGTCCAAGAGGTTTTCAGACAAAGTTCTAAATTACTTTCCCAAGGGATATTCTCTGGCTGCTATGGGAAAAGGCTTTCTGTACTAGGAAAAGGAAGAATTGACTTGAACAGCAAAATGTAAACTGAAGAACAGAAATCGCTGTGTATTTACTCACAATTAAGGAAATTCAGGCCTGTTAGAGTACTCTTACAATGGGAGTGACAAAAATACTACTTTAAATAACCTTTCTAATCTATGAGTAAATAGGACAGTTAACTTCCATAACAGTTGTTTACAATATACAGGAATATCCATCACTAGATTAACATGTGGAATTTTATATAGTTTTTATGGAGAGATGTCAATATTTAAGAAAAGTCAGAATAAGATTTGGGAGGGAGAAACAAAAAATCCCCAACCCAAAATAAAATCCAAGCAAGCCAAGCCATAACTCTGAAACTGGGAATTCAGTCTCCATAGCCATAACTTTATCCCTATTATCAGGCAATAATTTTCATGTTCTAATTACTCCCATTACAGACATAGTGTGCTGCAAATACAACTAACTTACAAAATAATGTAAATCCACAATAATACCAAATTTTTCACTACAAACTATAAATGAAAAATATATCCCATTACCTTCAAAAGTTCTTGTTTTAGCCTACTCTGTGCTGTGCTAGAGGCTACACCCAAAGGCAAGCAAACCACATAACACTATTCCCCTTACCCCTGGGGCAGAACCTTTTTATTAGCAACTTTTTCTCCTAAGTGGGTCACCTGGACAATTAATGAGTCATATTCACATGTGGCTCATATTTCTTCTAACCTTTGATTTAGGGGAAATGGAAGAAATATGTTACAGATGCCCAGAAGCAAATTCTTGGGGGGAGGGAAGAAGCCAGGCTGCCTCCCAGGGCTGAGCTGCAGTTATATTTCAGTCTCACTGTAGCACTTCCAGCTCTCACCCACTCTGGCTGGAGTATTTCTGTCTGTACACAACGTGTAAAAACAACCCTCTCTTTCCAGCTGAAGCTTGATTTTAAAAGTACATAGGGGACATGCTTTATAAAGTAGATATATTTTTAATCGTGTGGGAGGGGGGGAAACTGTGTCTTGCTTTATGTGTGTCCTCAGCAGAGTGAGTTATGCTTTGTTCACATTGTGTCCGAGCCCCACCAAGTGATGTGATGTGGCTGTTCCTAAGATTTGGGCTTCTGTCCCCTCTTCTGGTAACTCTGCCCCAGATGGGGCTCAGGGTTTACTGTGGGAACAGAGGGGTTCTGGTGCCAAGGGGCCTTGGCTAGTTCCTCTCAGTTTACCTGGACAAAAATCTCACCTAATGCAAATGGATATTTTTGAGCACCTTTTGAAAAATGAGTGCACAGTCTCTGCTCATGCTTTTTCTGGTTTTGTTTTCTGGTGTTCAAAATAGCAACCAGCTATGTACAAGAGCCATGGGTGTGAATGGTATTTCATCCACAGAAGATGACCGTTAAACCAGCAGGTCCTCAAACCAGGTTCTGACAAGACATTTATACAGCAAAACTGGTGTCGACAGCTAAGCCTCTGGTTCTATGTGCTGGGTACTAACGGTGGGTCAGAGCCAAAAGACTTTGGAGTGCCTGCAGAAGACTCCAAAATTGTGGTATCAAAAAACTTTAGCTTACATTCTGCCTTGACAGAAGACTCCATAGCCCTTTGCTTTCTGATTTAAAGTTCTCACATAATTTATATTTGTGGCTCCATCTATCACTCAGACAGCCGCTTTTCCCACAAGGATGGACATTTAGTCCAAGCGGGGCTGGGGTGAGTCTTCTTCCACCTCAGGGCCCTGCGAGATGGGTACGGGGCACCCTGCACGTGTCCAAGTGCTCACCATAAGGACTGATAACCTCTCAAAAAGTGCAGCTATCCATTTCTTTGAATTCAGAGGCAGAAAAGGTTGTTGTGCCTTTCCTTCAGTAAAACAGACTTAGCACAGGGTAAGTGCCCCAGCACGCTTCAGGATATGTGGGTGTCAACAGGATCTCTGTGCTGTTACAATGTGTTATAACGGGGCTTCTTAATTTCCATTTCAGGCCCTTGGTGGAGCGGAGACACAGTTATTTCTCCGCATGCCCAGAACAAGCACACTCTTAAGGCCTGCTGGCACATTGTTTGGGGGTGCTTTTCTGGGGACTCAGGGCTGGGGTCCCCCTTTCTGGGTGAGTGTGCCCACCATCAGGCTAGAGCATAAAAGGAGGGGGAGGTGGGAGTGGGCCTCTTCCCCCTTCTTCTCTGCTGTGTGCCTTTGAGAAGAAAATGCAAGGCCTGCTCAATTCTTTGAAGGGGCAGAGGTGCACATTTTAAGGGAATGGGTTGTTGATTTCAAATGGATTGGGGTCACCACACTCGACCCACTCCTCAGTGTTTGCTGAGTGATGCTTTCATATAGATGCAAAAATAAAAGTAACTATCGAGACACCAATTTCTTGTAATGCTAATTGGCTATGACCCAATCCTAACAGTAATTGAAGTACTGATAACCATGTCTGATAAGAATGGATAATACAGATCTGATTATTTTATTTTTAAACAGAACAGTGAACAAAAAGTGGAGAACCCAGTGGAGAAATAAAGCAGGATATGAAATGCAAAGGGATAAAATGAGTCTCAATGAAGGGGAAAGGGAAGAGTTACAAAGAAAAACTAAGGCAGAGGAGCGCCCCAAAACTCAGCAGCAGTATTTGGATGCTCCTAGGGAAGTTTTCCCTATAGCTGACAATTTATTTGGGGTGTTTCTATGACAGTGCCCAGTTTGGTTAATGCGTTCAGGTACACGGTAGCGCCGGGATGCTGACTGTTTCGTGTGGGGAGCCGAGGCCATGCCCAGCCCAGCACGCTGCCTGGCTGGGATCCCAGGTCTCATGGCCACGCTGCTTCCCCTGCATGCTCTGCAGAGCCACGCCACCCAACAAGGACAAGCCACCCGGGGCTGGGACAGAGGAGAGGGGCTCACAGCTCTGCCGCCACGCTCCAAGGGTGCCCATGAACTCGTTTTAGCAGGGCTGACTCACAGAAAATGCGTTTTCTCTTCCTGCCTGATTGCTTCACAGGTGAGAAAGGAGGGCTGGAAACTGCTGGGAAGTAGCTCACTGTTTCTTTATAACCACCAATACAAGAGTTTCAGAATACATGTTTTTCAATTCTATATCAAATTCCTTGTTCTGCACTCCACTGCATGACTCTTTTCTAAGGTGTGTTTAGCAGGCTACTTTTAGAGAACACGATTTTGTATGCCTCGCTGTGATAAATAATAGAAGAATTTTGCTTTCGCTAAAAGTAATTAAACAATTACTTCTTAGGCTAAAGCTATTATTAGTACAATGATCCAAATTTTAAGAAAAGTAAAAGACTTTACTACTGGGAAACGAAAAGGGGGGAATTGATCTGAGGAAACACCAACCCAACAGCCCCCCCCCTCCTTGGGATGCTCACCAGATGATCCATATCAAAGGGTGGTAACTCCTTTGCAATGGAATGAGAAAGAACAGAATGGGCCGTCTCTGGTATCCCTTGTCCATGAGATAAGAGAGGCACTGAAACCACTGAGCCAGAAAAGACAAAGGAGCTGCAAATTGGCCCAGACTTGAAGGACAAGGTGTAGGTGACCACAGGACTGAAGAATGAAGAAGATAAGATTGTAGAAGGAGCCAGGAGGCGTGCAGAAGGTGTTGAAACCAGCAGCTGTGTGGATAAAAGGGGGTTTGAAACTTAAACAATTTGGTGAGCCTGGACGGAGCTGCGACTCCTTGGCCACCCCAGCGCTGCATTTGCTCTCTTACCTTAATAAAGATTCATTAATCCATATTTGGATGTGATTGGCCTTAATGTACCTATAACATCGCGGTGGGTGCTGCTGAAACAATGATGAGAGGGGCAAGGCAAGGGCCGAGCTGCAATGGTGAGGGTTTAGCGTGGGGACGAGGAAAGGTTTTGTAGGTTGTGCTGGCTGCGAGGCTGTGCCGCCTGGAAGCCGGGCAGGAATTCCTCTGCCCTCCGTGACTTCCATCCTCCATCGTTTCCGAGCTGATGCTGGTTTGAGGGGAATGAGGAGAGGGTAAGGGCATCTCTCCAGAAGAACGGTACTTAGCTTAGAGCTCTGCTTGAGGCGGGCTTCAGGCAGGGCTGCAGCTCAGAGCCCCGCTGGGGCCATGCGGGCTCATGGCTTACACGAACAACCCTCGTACGAAGCCCCTCTGGAAGCACTCGTGGGGTGGCACGCAGGGACGGCCGCCTGCAGGCCCGGGGACGAGTGGGTGCCCACCAGGGCTGCTGGAGAGACCGCCGGGCTGCTCCATGAGGCACGAGGTGCTCCACACCCTCGGGCCGGAGGGACTGGGAGCAGTGAGGGCCCTGCCAGGGTGAGCCCGGGTAGGCGGGGAAGTTTCTTAATCACGCTGCTCTTCCCGGTGCGCCCGCCGTGGCTCCCCCTTAGGAGCAGCGGGGGGGACCCTGACTCTTTGAAAAACGGCACTGTGGCGGCTACGGGGGATGCTGAGGGAGAGGAAGAGGGAAGGGAGAAGCCCCCCAGCAAGAGCGGACACCCGCGGACTCATCCAGCCGCAGCGCCCCGGACCCGCTGCTGTCAAACAGGACGCGGGGCGGTCCCGCCGCGACACCTCCCACGGCCCCGCGGCCCCGAGACGCGCCATGTTAGGCGTTGGGGCACGCGCTGCGCCCGCCCCGCCCGGGAGCGCCGCCTCCTCCGGCCGCGCCGCGCACGCCGGGACCGGCCCCGCCCCGCCCCGCCCCGCCCCGCCCCGCCCCGCCCCGCTCCGGGCCGCCGCCGCCGCCGCCGCCGCCGCCGCTGCTGCTGCTGCCCGGGCCCCGGCCCCGGCCCCGGCCCCGGCGGCAGGATGCAGGTGAGCAGCCGCGGGGCGCCCCGCGTCCCCGGCCCCTGTGCGGCCGGGGCTGCGCTGCGGGGGTGGGGGAGCCCGCCCGGGCGGGCGGAGAGCCGGGGCCGGGCCCCCCGCCTGGGCGGCCGCGGGCCCCGCCGGCCCCGGCCGCCCGCGGGGAGCCCGGTTTCATCCCTCTGTTTTGGGGGTGGAGGTGGCCGTCGTGTGGTGGGATTGTTGTGAAGCGCCATGGCTTGGTTTTGTGGCGGTTTGCTGGTTTCTTGGGTTTTGTTTTGTTGGGTTTTGTTTTGTTTTTGTTTGGTTCTTTGTGTGTGTGTGTGTATGTTTGTTGTTTGTTTGTTTGTTTTGTTTTTTTGTTTTTTTTTTTTTTTTCTTTAAATACGATATTTATTTCGCTGCTGTAGTAAGCAGATGGGCGGGTGGGTGTTTTAGGCACTTTGTCAGTGTGTTGATAAACGATGGTAGATGCTGTGAAATGCAGTGTCGAGGGAAAAATGACCACCGTCAGAGAAAAAAAATAATAATGATAAAAAAAAATCTGGTGTGCTGTTAGATGCGCTACTCTATTTTCTTATTTTATTTTTTTTTTCCTTTGTCTTCTTTTTTTCCTGGTAGTTCAGAAGTACTGTGGCTTTGTATAAAGAGAGATGGTCTTTAACAGACCTGGTGTAAGCTGTATTGACGCAAGCAAAGCAATAGGTGTTGTATTCAGTTTTCAAAGTGAACTTAAGACATTAAGGAATCAAAATCAGTATGTGAGTGCTTATCACTGAATTTTCATGTATTTTAAAAAAAAAAAATATTGCTATCTAACTTGGAAAAACTTCTCCTGAATTTTGTAATAAGATGTGGGTGCTTATGGGCCTTACTTTGCAGGATTATTGTGACTATTTCACAGTAAAGCCTCTTTAACTTTCAGGCGCAGTCTAGGCATAGATTTAGATCTGGGCTCCTAGCAATGGGCTTGTCTGACGGAGTCCGGGCTTGCTTTTCTCTAAGCACTCGTGTAATCCGACTGACTTGAAGCTGCCGAGGAGCTATCCGGTGTATCCAGAGTTAGGTCTGGCAGGCCGGTGGCTGTGTGCCCTTGCACCAGCGCTCCCTGGTGCAGTGACCGCCGGCGCGGCGGCCTGTTCTCTGCTGAGGCTCTGTGCGCGAGCGCTGTGGCCAGCGGGCTTCCCTGACACCTTTTCCTTTTGCCTTGTGGGAGCTGCGGCGATGGCTCCAGTCCTTCAGAGTTTTGTACCCAGCCAAGACCACCTGTGTGTCGTGAGTGGGATGGAATAAAATAAAGTCACTCTTCAGGGTGCGTCTCCTGAGCCTGCAAAGAAGCCTTAGCATCAGGAGGATGCACGCTGTGACTTTCTGTCACCATCCAGGCAGTTTCCAGTTTAGCTGCGTGCTCTGTCTCTTGGAAAACTTGCCTCTGTTAAGTTCTGAAAGTGGTAAAGTTCACCTTGAATGCACATCATTCGTTTCTTGTTCTGTTCTAGGACCCAAATAAAGACACGGAGTGGAATGACATCCTGCGCAAGAAAGGTATCCTTCCTCCAAAGGAAAACCTGGAGGAACGGGAGCGCGCAAAGGAAGAGGAGCAGCTTGCCATCCTTCAGAAGTCTCTTGGTGGGTGACCAGCCAACGCAGGCAGCAGAGCAGGATGAGTCTTGGGATGGCTCCTGGGGGAAGCTTGTACAAAGGAATGGCCAGCAGTAATGCTTGTGTGACTGCAGGGCAATGTGTCCTTCTCCACGTCTGTAAGGGGTACCAAAGCTGTTTCTTGTATCAGGTGGTCATCTGTTAACAGTATCAAACAAATACATTCTTGAACATGTGGCTTCTTCCAGCATGGGAAGGCTTTGTCTTGATGTCAGCTCCATACTTTTATAGAAGTAAATGTTTGAAAACTGAAATAAACAGTGCGAAGGGAGTCTACCATGTGAATGTGCAAGTAAAAGCACCTCATGACCTTACCTGTTGTATGCTTCCGCCTCCCTCCGTTGTTCAGGCATCCCTGCTGTGTGTGTGTGAGGTACGGATTTGCGGCAGCCACTGAACTTGGAAGCTAGTGCAAGTACTCGTGTGCTAGTGTAGGCAGCCTTCATCTCGGAGTCCTTTACATCATTGTCTTTCCAGCTATATGTCTAAAGTGCATAATACTTTCTAAAAATCCAGTAGCAATAATTTAAAAAAGCCATATTTCCCATAGTTAACCTGACTCTAAAGTAAATAAATCCTTTTGGCTTGATAAAAGCTGATGAGTTTTAAGCTTGGAATAAATTTCTTTCTGATTTGATGTTTCTTCCATTCTAGTGAAAACTTATGAAGACATGACTCTGGAAGAACTAGAAGAGAATGAAGATGAGTTTAATGAGGAAGATGAGAAGGCTATTGAAATGTACAGGTTAGAGCAGCATGCAGAATTTGGCTTTAAAGCAAATTGGAGGTTTTCTCTTTTATAGGCTGTTAGATATTGTTCAAGAGGAAGGATGTTGTTAGGCCTTATGATAGAAAAAGTGGGTTGTGTTTCTGGTCTCTGGTAGAGCTTCTAAGTGTCTTTAATAGGATAACTGAGTTTAAATTCAGTGTCCTTTGTCTACAACCTAGTTTTGCAGAGATAATGTGCACCTGCTGAGTGCATGGCTGGGGATTCTGAGAGCTTTGAAAATCACCTCCAAGATTTCTCAGTTTTTGCATGAATGAGATTAAGGTGCTGCAGATTTACAAAATTACAGTGTTGGTTTTCCATTATCACTATCTCTACCATCTCTTGTGGTTTTTGCTGCTTAGTTAGGTATTGTAGTATCTGCAGAATAAATGTTGTCTGAGGTCAGAAATGAAGAAAAAAATTACGAAACATAGTTGTACTTGCATATTGTCAGTTTTAACTTGTGATGCAAATATAAAAGCATTTATTGAGTATGTCAGCTTGCTTTTTTTGCTCTGGGGTTTGAAGAAGTTTGTAATGTGCCTCTGAAATCTAGGTTTCAATCAGCTCCTTTAAGTGTTCTGTCAAAAATGCATCTATTCTCAAGATCTCTTTTCCATTCTTTGCTGTTCAGGCAACAAAGGTTAGCAGAAATGAAAGCAGCTCAAATGAAGAATAAATTTGGGGAAGTTTTGGAGATTTCAGGAAAAGATTACGTTCAAGAGGTTACGAAAGCTGGAAAAGGTGTATGGGTAGTCCTGCACCTCTACAAACAAGGGTAAGAATTTGTTTTTAACCTTTAAACCTTTCACTGTCAGTAGCTGAAAATACTCTAGACAAATGTGTAGCTATTGTGGAAGTTAAGGAGCTGATTCTGGAGTTCTAAGAAATAAAAAATTTAATTAGTCATTTCATTACTGTTGACTCAAGAATGCAGAACTTAGCTCTAAAACAGTGTTACCATAAAGTGGCTTTTTTATTTATACATCTACACAGCACAATGTGACTTGTATGATACAGCTACCATAGAGGTAGCTGCTGCCACTGAAGTATCTAAGCTTTGGAAATTATTCTGGATAAAGTGCACAGGGCTGTGCACTGGAAGGATCACTGTTTGTCTTTAGCCTGGTTTCTAGAGGCATAAAAACAGACTGAAGAGGGTTTCCAGTCCTGTCAGTATGATGGAAAAACTTGTCAAAAAAGTCTAAGTTGCTAGAATTTTCTGGAAATGGTTAGAAATACTTGATTTTGTTAATTGTCTGTAATTGCCTCACAGGTGTTTGTCATTTGCATACTTTGTTCCAGGTGCTGCTTTTCCTTTCTGTTTTGTCCTTGGTCACGCAATTTCTAAATACCCTATCTTCATAAATCAGTCTTTCTGTATGGTAGAGGGGAAGGCTGTATTACTAATACCTTAAAACAAAAAGACCACCCACCAAAACTTCCAGTGATGCTGATTTCCTTTGAATGCTGGAATACTGGACAACAAAAGTATTCAGAAATTGATTCTGGTACATTTGTGTTTTCATAAATGCTACTCATCAAGCTGATATTTCTGACCTTTCTTCTGGAGTAGATTACTGTCTAATTTGTCTTTCCCACCCCCCCCCCCCTTATGTGTGTCTGTTGCTGTTCTTCACAGAATTCCACTCTGTGCCTTGATAAATCAACATATGAGCGGGCTTGCAAGAAAGTTTAGAGACGTGAAATTCATCAAAGCTATCTCTACCACCTGCATTCCCAACTACCCTGATAAAAACCTGCCTACGATATTTGTATACCTGGAGGGAGACATCAAAGCTCAGTTTATCGGGCCTTTGGTGTTCGGTGGCATGAACCTGACAAGGGATGGTGAGTGTCTGCATCTCTGGTCTTCCAAAGGAAAAGCAAAACTCCTCTGCTGGGAATGAGAGAACTGAGGCTTAGGAGCAGAAGGGAGATACTAAAAATCTTCTTAGATTTTTTTTTTTTTTTTTTGGCACCCTTATGACTTAACAAGGTACAATTAAGGCTGTCTTGTAAAAGCAGTGAATGGCTGAGTAGGCCAACGTATTTGTTTTATGTATGTGCAACTATTCACACCCTGTGTTGAGTGAAACAATTTTTTCTGAAAATACTAAAGGGTCAATAGTACCCACACACACTTTTGGGGGCTCTTGTACATGAATGACTGACCTTGCCCCCAGTTAATTGATAATCTGTGTACTTGATAGCTGGTGCTTGCCTGTTGCATTGTAGGGCTTCTTGTTTCATTTCCAAGCTGATGGCATATATTTGTCCATTGTACCTTCCTGACATGCAGGCTCTGCCCCTCGTGAACCTTTAAAGAGAGCCTGCCTGTTTGTCCAAATGGGGCTGCTAGCCTGAAATTGGGTTGCTTCCCAGAGATGGCAGCATGTTAAGCTCCTGCCTCAGTGACTCGGGGGCACAGGGCTCCGTGGGGAGAGGTGGTTGCCTTTCCTGAAGGTCACTGTTTTCCCTGCATCTGTTCCTCCTCGCCCATCGCAGCAGCTTGGAGTCAAGCCCCGCGCAGCCCCGTTGGTCTGACGTGCTGCAGGAGCTGAGGGCACTGATGCAGGTCTCCTGGAGCACGGTGGCTCTGCAGTGAGAGCTGCCGTTTGGAGACGGTTGGTCGGGGATGGTGTCTTACAGCAGTGCTTAAAGACAGAGGTCAACAGTGAAAAAGGCTCTTTGTGGAAAGCAGATGCAACTCGGATGTAACCTAGAGGATTTCACTTCAGTTAAAAGGATACTCATCAGCTTTCTGAGTAGGCATATTGGTCCAGATGCCTTCAGTCTGTTTCAGGGTCAGGCTTTAAGGGCATCTTTATCTGAAGTGAACCACAGTTAAGCAGCATTTCAAGGCCCCTGCTGAATAGTGTCACTGCCTGTACTGGGGTAGGATGCAAAGGGTTTTTTTTTACTATAACCGTGAAGTTTACAGGATATCTTGGGTGTGTACTGTAGAAAATTCTCCCCTGCCTCGAACTGTCAGAAGGGGAAAAGCTCACCAATGAGATTGATGATTTGAGAACAGCTAACTAACTACAGAGGTTGCCTAATTATACAGTTAGCTTTCTCTCATTTTTAGCAAATAAATAGCTGATTTTGTGAGGGTCCAAAGGTGACTGAGTCGTCACAGAAACCTGGACACTGAAATTCTGCGCTTCCTCTTATTTCTTTCTTCCCTTTTCCCTCAGCCCAGGTGACTTCCACGGGAGACAAAAGAAAGTGTGAGGTTGTATTCGTGACTCTGTAATGTCCAAAGGAAATTAGATTTAATGATAGGGTTGCTAGCAGGACTAGGAGAAAAGTTTCAACTGAGTGTGTTGTAGTGACTTTCTACCACTTTTGGGAAGCAATCTAGTTTGGGCCTATATATTAATAGGCCTAATAATGGTGAAGTCTCTCTTACTGCCTTACAAAGGAACTAATAATCAGTGCATAGCATAGTGGGAAAGGGTTGAGTTGTGTTTACAGAGTACATAGTACATCCCTGAAAAATCCCTGTAATTCATATGTATAAATGAAATTGCTACAGTTTTTTTGCCCCTCAGCAGATCTGTTCCCTACCTTTTCTGCTTGTGGTGAACTCGGTATATGATGGAAACAGCTGTGATATATGAACAGTGTTCCTTCACCAGCAACAGATGTGCAAACCCATCCTCTGCCCTTACGTGGTTAGAAGGAGGTGGAATTCACTTCCACTGAGAGTTGCCTCTCAAGCTGCTCCTCTGCATCAATCGCTTCTTTTGCACTTCTGGTTGTAAAGGGAGCAGGGAGGCACTGGGGGTGCCACCGGTGGGCTGCAGAGCAGTACCCTGAGCTCTGCTCCCTGGGCTCAAACCTCTGCCAGCACTAGTGACTCTGAAGGGAGGGCTTGACTGGAGACCTGGACGTGGAAGAGGAGGGGGAGGAATAGAGCAGGGCCCTGGTTTTGGTGGTGGTGATGGCAGGGTGATAAGTGAAGTCAGCTGAGTGGGCTTTTTACAGTTTGCTCCCCTGCATTTATAGCTCTCTTGTTTTGCTCTGCACAGAATTGGAGTGGAAGATTTCGGAGTCGGGTGCAATCAAGACAGATCTGGAAGAGAACCCCAGGAAGCAGATTCAGGACCAGCTCATGTCCTCAGTCAGGGCGTGTGTCCCAGCCAGGGGGGAGAGTGACTCAGAGGATGACTAACTCCTGTGACTGCATCAAGATTGATCCAGTACACTTGCAGCCAGCGTTCCTACCTAGAGCACTGAAGATGCTCATCAAGATCTTGCTGAGCCCCAGAAGGGTCGTATTTCAAGACAGCCATTTATCTAGAAACTAAAAAAAGTTTATTAAAAAAAAAAACCCAAAAAAACTTACTGCAGTTTCACTTAAGATCATGAAAGATATTTTATATTCTGAAGCCTGAGTAAATATTACTCAAAGTTTTAAAATACAGACATCAGTAGAAACAGAGGTCTCTTGTTTTTTATTTTATTAGTAAATTGCTGACTTTTAAGGCCACTTCATATTTTAGATTTTAGTGCACTATTTTTGACAAGCTTAACTCATGTAAATCATGTTTAAGTAGCTGGTCTTACACAATGGGTTATAGTACTTAATTGGGCCTTCTCTTAGCACACAGTGTGTAGATGTCGGGCATCCTGGACTGGGGAGAGCTAGGTGAGGTGACCCATGACGTCGGTGCCACCTGAGGTGGCACGTGGTCCTGTTCTGGTAGGGAGGCCAGCGTGAGGCTGTGAACTGGGACCCCGGACGTCTTGGGAGAGGCCTTGGTGATGGCCAGCATCTCCTGGAACCTTCCGAGTCCAGAACCCCCTTTCCTTTAGCAGCAGTATTTTGCCTTTCACAGGGGCTGAGCTTCCTGCACCATCTTTACTGCTAACTGGGAAAGAAAATTCAAGATGGTGGTGCTCGAGTGTGAAGCGGCTGACTTCCTCCACAAAGACAAGTCTAATGTGTTTCTACAGTAGTGTCAAATGGAAGGGAAAACGATGTCTAAAGACCTTACATCTTTCTATATTAAAGCCTTCCATCTTCTAGGTACAGTAATAATTGAGGCCTTAGGAGAGAGTGAACTGAAATACCACCATAATTATAGATCTGCTGACACTTGGAGCTACTTGCTTATTTTGGATTGGGTTTAATGCCCACCTACACTTTCAATTTGTCTACGCTTGGGCTAACAAGCTCCAAGAGCTTTTGCTAATAAGGCTGCCCCAAGGACATTTTGTTATATTGCTGATGGATTCTGTGGGTGGATGGTACAGAATGCAACGCTCTATAAAAAGCAATTTTATTTTAGTTTTGTATTAGTTCATAGCAACTTTTAAGCATGTTTTTTGCACTCTGATTCCCCAGTCAAATCAGTGTGTAGTTCAAATGAATAACTGTTTCTTAAACTTTGGGTGAAGTTGTAGGATTCTGATGGAGAGCTGCTTCTCAGATCTGAATGGTGATTTGAGTGTCACCTACGTTTCCTTTTCTCTTTTGTGTTTTTTGGCAAAACAATTAAAACATTAACATTTTGCGGGTGAGCCAAATGCAGCAGAATACAAGCTGATAAATCCTGAATATTATTATTTTACATACCACCACACTTCTCTTGATACTGGACTATCCAGAATGCTATCAGACCTGACGTTTTTCTGTACTTACCTACAATTTACAATCTAGGAAGGGGACAACTCTTTCTCCCCTGCGCTGCATATTTTGCTTATCTTTTTTTTGTCCTCATTTAACAGTGCTTTGGAGAGACCTCTGAGGACATGGACTTTTATTTCCTTTTGGAGCAGCTCCCAGAAGGAAAATCAGTCCAAAGAGCTAGGCTATTGCTAACCTGAAATAAGACCCTGTGAAATGTGTGTAGAGTGGATGTTGCATCCTCAGACTCTCCCTCCAGATCTGCTGTAGTTGAGCTGTCTCAATTACTGATGCAGACACAGCTGCCATACTATTCTCAACTTGTTTATAATTTAAAGTTTATGAAACCTTTTAGGAAGGGGAGGTAGAATCTGCAATCCATCTTGTGTATCGTTGCTGTGACAACTTCAATTTGAAATCTAATTTAAAAAGTAGGCAAAGCTTTGGATACTTTATTTCTATTATTCCCTCTTTTATTGTCTCCCACTTCAGTGCCTCTATGGAGGCAGAGAAGCAATAACATTGCAGCTGGCCTTTCACTGTCTTCTAGAGCATGGATGATTTATGGACCGCAGTAGGAGAGAAGCTCGAAGCACGATGACCACTGCATGTAGATGGGGTTGCTGAGGGCTCTGTCCTATGGGATCTTGGAAACATCTAGGGATGAAGATTCCTCAGATTGTCCCAGTGCTTGACCGGCTCCAGGGCAGCCCTCTTCTTCACAGCCTGCACAGGACAGCACAGGCAGCAAGACCTTGAGCCAGGACTACAGAAGAGTCTGTCCAGAGCTTGATCTAAAGCTTGCTGTTCAATCAGGAGAACTGGTGTTTCAAAGACAGACAGGCATCCTTAGGATACTAACCATAGACCTGCTAGAGCTAATCAGCAGAGAAAGCTGAAGGATAGAGTGTGTGTTTTGACCAGACCATACCAGCTTGTAAGGACCTTAGCCAGTGGCTCCCAGCTAAGAGGATGTGTCTTGAGCCCCCCTTCTGGAAGGGGGATGCTCACACCCTCTACTCCAGAAACTACAGGCCTTCCTCAGACATTTCCTGCTTGTTCCTATCCACACTGGCACAGTGATTCTTGTTCCCTAATCTGCAAAGTAAGCCATCTTAGATGGGATGGTGTCCCCTCAGTGGAAGGCTCACCCCTTGTGAATGAGGCACTGCCTTGGTGCGGGTTTGAGCCCCTCAGGCACAAGTGAGAATTGAACCAAAGTGCTTAGGCCCTTGGCATGTGGTGTGATAAACCCTTGGATAAATAAAAAGGGAAGGTGGGACTTTGGGCTCTTTCTGTTATGGTCTTCTCTTCCACCAGGGTCTTGAAAGACAATCACAGCTGCCTTCCCCTTTTGGACGGAGTTTAATGGATTTTGTGGGCTCTGGGACCACCCAGAGGACTAGGGCTGTGTATGGGCATCTGGTTGCCCCAAGCTGTTTGTGGCGAGCCAGATACCCAACACTCATGAATGACACTTATGGCACCCCCGGGCAGTAGATATGTCTTTTTCCCCACAAGAATCAGGCCTACCCAGGTGACTAGGTAGGAGAGGGGGAGATGGCCTCTTCTAGCCTGCTCCCTGCTGTCAGGGCTACAGCAGGGGCTGCCTTGCCATTCAATAGACAGCACTGAGCAACTTACAGCAACTCGGGAGAAATGGAGACAGTTTGACTGGTACCGTCTTCTATCCTGAGCTGCTTAATGTGTTGACGTGTCAGGGGAAGCCGTTTGAGGATTCCCTGCTGGAAGGGGCAGAGGAGAGAATAGTCACAGACAAGAAGAGGCTGAATGTACTGCCCAGCTGCTGGGACCCTTGTGGAGCATCATTTCAGATGGTCTCTGTGCTTCTTGGTATTTGGCTAAGTGTGAAACCAGCTTCTTGTAATTTTATTTTCTCTCTTGCCAATCATATTGCCCTGCTCAAGGCCTTTTGTAGAAATTAGGTCTCTGCAGGAAATGGATAATGAGGTCTGTTTAACCTTTTGGTGGAGCAGAAGCTATGGAAGCATACAGTTAAGGTGAATGAGCTTTAGTTTAAAAGGAAGTTGACTGCTAAATAGCAAACCAAAACAGCCAATTAATATACGTAGCAGAATGAGGCAGTATAATGGGAGAAAATAATTGGAGAGCGTGAACTCTCATTTGCTAAGATTTGGGACACTGTTGCTAAATGCACTGTCTGTATTTTTGCAGCCTGTCAACAGTTAGTGTTAGATCAATGCTTGCTTCTCACCAGTGTGATAAGGGTCTTTCCGTCAGCTATCATGGGGAGATGTCGGAGGCAGTGATCCTGTAAACAGTGCTGAGGCTTGTTTGAGTTACAGTCCTGTATACTGCTGCCAAAGCATCCCTGACATCCCACACTGCCGCGGTGCCGGCGGGTGGGGGGGAAAAGGTAACCCTGGGCCATAGACAGGGACAGATGATTTACCATTAGTGGACAGTCATCTGGAGTTTTTTGTGTGAAATGTAAGTGAACCACTAATAATAAAAAAGGTTTTCTTTATGGTACACGTCTGAAGTCTACTGCTTACCTAGGTTATGTGAGCAGCCACATGACGTTCATGGCAGGCTGCCCTGATCTGAATAAGTCATCACTGCTTTTCATTTACCCAGACCTGTTTGCATTCACAATCTGCACTCACCAAACCCTGCCAAACCTGGAGGGTAATGTTTTACATCCACTTCACGTGCAGAGGGAGAGCCAGGTGGTGTGCAAGCAGGGTAGGGCCATGGAGGGGCAAGTTAAGCTGCCAGTGCTCCAGGTGCTTAGTCCAGCCGTGGTCGGGGGCCTGCACGTGGGCAGAAGCAGCGGCAGGACTGCGATCGCAGGAGGTGAAGTGAGGGAGTGTCCTCTGAATGCCCGTGCTGTGCTGTACCTGTTTCGGTCAGGTCCTTTTTCCCCGGGCTCAGCTCAGCCTTGCCTACCTCCTCTTTGGGTCCAGCCCATGACTTCCTGAATATGCTCAGGTGGATATTTGCTCGGCCTTACTGCTGGAAGTAGTTTAACCTGGGTGAGATGATTCCCTGTGAGAAAGCTGGGTGTGTGCTTCCATCTCTGATGGATCAGGGTACAGAATAAGCACATGATTTTAAGCTAGAAGTTAGCATGATAGCTGAACACAAATACTTGTCTTCATAGAGTTCAGGAAGAAAGTAACTCTGATCTACAGCAACTCCCATGAAAGTTAAGGCGTACTCTTTATTCTTGTATTATCAACTCAAGTCCACAATAATTTGTCATTATTCTCTTTAAATCTAGGGAAGTTTTCTATTTCATGGGCTGTGTGGCAATGGGAAATGAGATTTCTAGTAGAAACCTCAGTAACTGAAGTTGGACTACCTCTTGTTTTGTGAAGGGGGTAAAAAAAGCGCTGTTATATGAATCTTTCGCTGCGTATTTGTTGGGATTGGATCATGTCTAAGGAAACTTTACTCTCACTGAGATCAAAGAGGCTGTCCCTTCTCTATTTTAAATCACTATGTTGCTAAAACTAATCTATTCCCTGTCAGGTGTCTGGAAGGCAGTTGAACTCGTTTCTCATTACAGCCAATTATAAATCACTCTTCATTTCAATCTTATTTGGCTAATTCAGTCATCAAAGTATTGCAGGACACAAAGTATTTTATTGATGCATTTAGCTCTTCACAGAATTATAAAAAGTATTGAACTTCTTAGGTCTATCTAGTTGCAGATGGCTCTTGTGATGCAAGGAAAGGCTTCATTCCCTCCCATGGAAGGCAGAAACATTAAAAAAGAAAATCCAAGTTGCAAGAGACTCTCTAAGCTTGTGTAGGAGACTGATGAACGATCTGACTTACAATACAATGTGTTAAAACTTTCATCTCTTGACACCATGCCGAATTTTTCAGGACTTAGCCGAATTAATTTTAATTTACAGAACTGACTGAAGGAATTGAGGTCTGATTAAAAAATGGCAGGAGAAATATCAAGTAATTCTGAGGTTGTTTCTGTTTAACACTTCAAATGTTAAATAAGAAAGGAATTATATGATCTAAAGCAGAAGAGTCCATGTAGCAGATGTTAATGGACACCTAATGAGAGGAATGTAATTATGCATATTTGTAAGCCTCTGCTTCAGTATATCCACTATAAGAAGTCACATTTCTTCCAGTATATTGAACAGCTTAAACAGAGAGATGCTTCTTGTGGAGGCAAAAGTTACAGCATTTACTAGCAAGAGCAAGTCTTGATTTCCTGGACAGCTGTTGCCTACCTCCAAAGTGACACTGATTCCTGCTATGATATGTGTCATCTTGCTCCCACTCCCCTAAATATCCATGGGAATACTTTCATTCACAAGGAGGGCAGCAGAGCCAGCTACTGAACTTTTCTTCTTGCCTGATTGCAGTTTACCCTTCTGTGAAATAGTACAGACTGTCTGGGGGTGTTGGAAAACTTCATTAATTTTCTGCCCACATGCAGATGATTTCTGTTATGTAAGGATGAAAGTAGGGATGTCCTGGATCCTTCAAGTTGACGATCACTTTCTGAGGTTTGGTTGTTCCTGGCCTCAAGCGTTTAGAGGAGTGATTGTGAGGGCCACCTCCATGGCGGGGGAAGACCTGCAGGAGACACCTGCAAAGATTGATCTCTGCTGCAGCACCAAGGCATCGACTATTTTCTCTAGCAAGAAAGGGCTGGTGGTAAAAGGGTGCAAAGTTTAGTGGGATGAAGCAAAGAGAGGAGAATATGCAAAATATGGAGTTGGGTTTCCTATGCCAGTAATGTCCCCAGACTTCTTCAGCTGAGGTGCATTCCCTCTGGTTACATCTAGCTTGCAAATTTAATATTGCTAGGGAATGGGATGTGAACCAGATCCTGTGGGGTGAACCAAGTCCAGCTCAAAGGGCTGATCCTGGAAGCGCTTGAAGGAATTTCTTGTCTCCCTTTTCTCCAGGAGAAGAGAGGGAGGGGGAGAGCCCTCGAGACAGTGGAAGAGATGAAGGACAACAGTCACAGACAGGTAAAAAGGGGATCAGTTGGAAGTCTTAAATGAGAAGTCTGTCCATTGCTAGAGAAGAAGGGTAGAGGTGAGAGGAAGATAATAAAGAAAAATTTGAGAGCTCGCATTATGATGAAGATTCAGGAATATGTGGTGTTGGGATACACTAGGAGAAGCACTGCCCTTCTCAAAGGATAGGCCTCGTGTGTAGCTGGAGGCTGTTCACTGAGGGTAGCAGAGTGGATGAGAGCATTAAACCGCAGGCCAAGAGGATAATTTTGGTGCAGCCCCATGAAAGCGCCATACCTGGCTTCAGTGTATAGGAAGAAAAAAGCCAGATAAGCATGGATGCTCTGATCCATAGAAAAATGTTAAGGGCTAGAGCGCAAGTAAGTGCCACTATTAATGAGAGCAGTAATCATGCAGGTTTTCAATAAGTAAAATCAATTGGTAAAAAAAGTCATGTGTAATTCAAGACAGGAAAAGATACTGCTGTATTATTTGCATACTGATAAGCAGTCTTTAGCATAAGCTCAGCAAAAGCTATGAATCTTTCAGGTGAGAGGAGCTGTTTATATCCATTTTTACAAGATACATTAAGCACTAGTAGCATCATGTCATCTGGCATATGTTGCAGATCCAGCCCAGTGGAGAAGATGGGCTTTTTTTCGAGATTAAGATGTCAAATGGTACTTTCAATTTAACAGCACTACACTGTCATTTTCAAACTTAGCTACTGCCCTGTACATTTATCAGGGCAATTTTAAAAACAGTTCAGTGACAATGCCATCACTGGCTTATCGGTGGCAGTTCCACTTTGTATGCGGATATAGAAAAGGGAGGAAGAGAGAGAAAACATATTTGTCCTTTTGCTGACTAGTAGCTGATACCTCAGGCCTTACAACCTCAGGGTGTTGCTGATGAGAAAATGGTGACGAAGAGCTTTGGTGGCACCTCTACAAAACACACAGCCCGCTGTCCTCTTCCTCTTCTGGTGGTAGGATAACCAGCAAACATGTGGACATCCTCCTAGCTAAAACACTGCCATGCTTCCATCACTCTGGGCTCCAAACAGGGGAAAATCTTTAACATCAAATCCACATCGGCTGTAACTGTCACTCAAAGTCTGTGTGGAGCACATGGGATTTCCTTAGAAAGTCATGTATGAAACCAGGCCCTGCTGTACCCCCCTGGGTCATGCCCCGTGCGCCTTCTGAAATGCAGCTAGTGCCCCGGAGGTGTAGGCGCTCAGCCGCACACAGGCATTACCTTGCTTGGCAAGCAGGCAGAGGGAAATTGAGATTTTTCTGCAGACTCAACTTCCCTCCATAGAGACCCCCTCAAAAGGCCAAGAAATTTCCCCTCCCCCCCTGACAAAAAGGACCCCTTGGTGCAGGGCACCTCCGTGCTGTGACATTGGCATGCACTCCTTGTCAGTGCTGGCGGACCCAATGCCATTACCCCACCAGATGAGGCACATGTGCCAACCAGAGCGTCGTGCCCTGGTGACGGCGTGGTGGCCGCTGTAGGTGGGATCCTGGCTGAGGGCGAGGAGCTGGCGGGGCTACTCAGGATGGGTGCTCAGGACCCAGGGCGTGCTTGGAGCTGCCGGCTCACCCCCCAGCTCTGCTGGCAGGAAGACAAAAACTTATCTGGGGCAGAGCTGCCCATCTGCAAGTGATGATTTAAAAAGTATGCAAAGAGGCAGCATAGTGAGGAAACCCTGGGAATGGTCTGGATTTCATGGGAGATGGGCTGCCGGGTCTTTCACATACCCCCGCGGGAGGGCTCCCAGGCTACTGGGGCATATATTGCTCTGGGTTTTAGGGAGGATGTGCTCATGGGCAAGGCATGGAAATAGGATCAGCTGCTCCCTCCATGGCTGTGATACCCTTTCCTTACATAAACAACATGGCTTGCCTGGACCTCATATTCCTCATCAGGAAAATTAATATTTGTGTTTAATGGCCATATATTGGTGTCTCTAGGTTTTTGTAATTTGTATCTGAAGTGAGCTATAAAACACTGAGGGCAATTGTTACACTTGAGTAGTCATTGTTTTGTCTATTTGTCCATCTGTGCCAGATTTTCCTGTACAGGAGTTCTCTGCTGTTGCCATACTTACTGTTTATCTGCATGGCTACTGGCACTTGAGATAGTCTGGGAATAAATGCTGCTATTCCACTTGATGAAGAATAACAGGCTTTTGTAGAACTTAGCCCTGATTTTCCACTATTTTACTGATTTCATTGTGATACAGCTGGCTCTTTTCATTAAATATACTTAATGAAGTGTTTTGCAAGATAAAAATGAAAAATTTGCTAGCCCAGAAGGCTAGCTCAGATCTTGTTATCCTTGCTTGAGGACTGGAACAAGTTGATGCTATTTAGGGAGACTTCTCCATTCAAGAACTCGAAGGCTGCTTCAGGCATCCTGGAGTTTTCAGGAGAGACAGAAAAGATGAGAAACTTCTGCAGTATCACCTATCACAAGCATACCAGGGACAAAGTAAATGCAATTGTGCACAAGATGGCAATGTTCTCC